GAGAGAGAGAGAGAGAGAGAGAGAGAGAGAGAGAGAGAGAAAGAGAGAGAGAGAGAGAGAGAGACTGTGTAATTGATTGTGGAGCAATGTGGACGTGGTTTCTCTCCAGGCCTGTTTTTTTTTTTTTTTCGGTCTTGTCATCCCCTTACTCTTCTTCTTCTTCTTCTTCTTCTTCTTCCTCTTCTTCTTCTTCGTCCTCCTCTTCTTGTTCTTCTTCCACAGACACACCTGCAAGGTCTGTCACAACCACCACTGACATCCCTCAGACCCCAACCCCAACCCCCAGGCGAGACCCCCCGCTGACATCCCGCCCCCAGCATCCCCCTATCCCACCTCCCCCCCCACCCCCAAGTTCAATTTTTTATTGCGGATTCAGGGTCCTCTAGTGCAGCGCAGCACAGCCCCACCTTCAGAAAAATATATATATATATCCTTGCCTACGGTTTACCGGGCAGTTCTATTTGACGATATATATATCCTTGCCCTGTTTTTGCGTTGCCCGGTTCACCCGGGCGGACCCCCCCGGGCCCAACCGGCCAGGGTCCGCCCGGCCGGGCGCCGGTGCAGCCTAGTCTTTTTCACCCCGTATCAGAATTTAGTCAGTCTTTCCATCGTGTATGGAAGTCAGTCAGCGTTGCCGCCTTGCCTCCTGCCATCCATTCTGTGAAGAAATTATCTTTTAATTCTCCTCTAATATTCTTAAAAGGGTCTTTACCCAATGCAGGCCTCAGGCCTTGTAAAAGAAAAGCAGCACGGGCCTTGAAAAAGTAAAGCATTGTGAAAAGGTATCTCGCCAGGGCTCAGAAACGTGAAAGCAGGTCAAAGGTCAAGTTCTCTATCAACAGGCACATCTAAATCTAAGGCAAAGGGCATTGTCAAAGGACTTACCTGTTCACCTAAGCTGTGTATGTCATGTCTGTTCGGTAAGAGTGTGTCTGTACGTGCAGACAGTGTACCTGTTCGTGCAAAGGAATGTGTCTGTTCGTTTAGAGTTGTGCCTGTCCGAAAGTAAAGTCAATAGGCACAGTCCCAGTTCTGGTCAAGGGGTCAGTCCAGATCCAGACTTTGAAATCCAAATCTAGGCCGAGAGGCCTCAGCAGCAGTCGAACCTCATTGGGACTACACTGGGACACATGCAATGCAGGGTCTGGGACAAAGGACAGGCTGAATTGAGCCAATGCAGACCCAGCGATGAGTGGCCAGCACTATAAAGAAAGCTGCCAGCCTCATTCCTCGCCAGATCTCCACTGGCTGCAATGCGTGGAAGTGCTGGTGCACTTGTGCGCTGAGTTAGGAGGAACAGCGCTGGAGGTAGAAGATGCGCTGAATGCAGGAAGAAGCCTGTACGCTGGACGTGATGCAGCCATAGCTGCCCAGCGAGTTAGCATTAGTCGTAGAGGGTTAGTATGTAGCTATGAGTAGTATTCAGAGTAGGTCCTCATGAGTAGAGTGTGTGCATGCATCGTAGGAGGAAGAGATTGAGACGAAGAGTGTTCATTCAAGGTTTGGCTATGGGAGACACTTACCTGAGTTGGTTGTGAACTGCAGAGTTGGCGCTGATGAGTTGTGACCATATTGATGACTAGGAGACAATCTGCAGAGGTAGCGCTGATGCCTTGGAAGGCATATTGATGAGTTGAGCAGAGATTTGGGTTGCGCTGATGAGAGCTGGACTCAGGGGAACTTTGAAGCACTTTGTAATCATATTTCTGATAATATAAGCTGTGAAACTCGGTCCTCTTCTTCTCTACCTTTGTCTATGGTTGAGACTATTGATCACTGCGTGTGAACATGATGCATGACATGTACACATCTGCGTGAGATGGTCCCCAGGACTATTCATCACCCGGCATGGGCTTTCTCGTTTTGTATCATACACCCAGGATCTCTGCTTGACTCAAAGATCTTGCCTCCTCCGTACTTTCTCCCTTGGGGGTGCACGGTCTTCAAAAAGTTCTGCAGCTCCTTTCCTTCCAGATGGACCACAGCCATGTCTTTCGCTTTTTGCCTTCCTGAAGTCCCGTGTTTTTCCTCTTCCAATAAGAGCGGGCGCCTTCCACTGCCATCTGAAACTGTACTGGGCTGTTAGATGAGGGGGGAAATTGGTGGAGGTATAACAGGGGAAGGAAGGAAGATGTGATTAGGATGGAGAGGGTCTGGGGGGGGGGGGAGGTCTTGGCTCAGACGTGTGCATGGGGTTGCTTGCAGAACTCTGGTTTCCGTGCTGTTTTCTAGTGCGCTGTGACTGTATTTGATAATGCCCCTCTATTGTACGAGAGCAACGCCTTCTTTATTCACAGACTATTTATTCAGCAGGTGAGTCCCAGTTCTTGAAGTGGATGATGCCCTTATCGATTTCCGCTAAAGTATTCCTGCCGAGCCAGATTTTTTCGAAGTTTCTCTGGCTTATTTCTCTCTTTTCTGGTTGTAAGATTTTCTGTTGCGCTTTTAGTTCTCTATTCCACTGGGCTCTTATTTCTGTTTGTTTGTTGTTGTTTTTTTTTTTTTTTTTTTTTTTTTT